CGTGCGTGCGTGCGTGCGTGCGAGCGTGCGTGCGTGCGTGCGTGCGTGCGTACGCGTGCTTGCGTGTGTATGTGATCTCCGAATTGAAATCACGATGAGTTAGATTTCTTTTCTCTGTCTGTTTTTCATCTTTCTCTCTCCCGCGATAGGCGCGTTTTTGCACCATCTTTCATTTTCTTTCTGTGCGTTTTTTCTTCCCCTCTATATTCCCCACGGGTATTGAATAGGGTTGCAATTTTTCATCAATGGTTAGATACCTTTTGGTATTATAATCGACTTTCACTTTCTCTTCATGTGTTTTTTCCCCGTTTATAATCCCAACGGATGAAAAATGCAGTTGCATTTATTTCATCGAAAGTTAGATACCTTTTGATATTATAATCATCGTTGACGTTCTTTTCCCGTGAGTATATTTCTTCCCACTACTTCCTCTAGAAGATCACGGCCCGATAGATGTTAGAGTTTATTGCATTTTTGTCATCTATGGTAGAGTGTTTTTGATACTGTAATTACTTAATCGCGAATTAACAGAAAGTTCATGCTCAGCGTGTATTTGCTAGGTTTCATCGTGACGTTTTTATATTATAGTCGATGAATTTGCGTGCAGGCGAGTTTGCAATCGTCGTATATTTATGTGTTGAATACTTAAGTGTAACGTCTGAACAGCGTTAATTTCCGAAGCGCATATGATGTAACGCACGTTTATGTATATGTATATATGTATATGTATATGTATATGTATATGTATATGTATATGTATATGTATATGTGCATGTGCATGTGCATGTGCATGTGCATGTGCATGTGCATGTGTATGTGTATGTGTATGTGTATGTGTATGTGTATGTGTATGTGTATATGTATGTGTATTTGTATGTGTATACGTATATGTATATGTATATGTTATCAAGAGCTAATAATACCTAGGTAGGTATTATTAGCTCTTGATGTTATATATATGTTATCAGGAGTATATAATAGAAGATATTCTATTATATACTCCTGATGTTATGTTTATGTATATGCATGCTATCACGACTTCTTTTCTACTACAGTAGTCCCTGCTCTATCGGGACAGGTCGGGAACCATGAAAATGTTTTTGAAGACATGTCGTTTATACGATGATCCCGTTTATCCGGGGCTCGATAATGCCGGGACCTCTGCCATATACGCTATTTTGCGTTTTGATTTTCCTTTCAGGGCGTAATGCAAATCCTGATTGGTTCTAATAAATATATCTTTAAATATATTACAATTGATATTTGACGTGTATGTGGTATAACTGCATACTTCTCGTTAGTTCTTTTAAAGACGCGGTCAACAGATTAAGCAAGCGGACAACACGTGAATCTCATGACTTTATAAACGTGTAAGTTTATATTTATTTCTCAAAACACAAGTAGTATACAAAAAAAACCGTTTACAAGTTATGCATTGCACAATTCCAGCCACGCGAGGGTACACACGTTTCGTGTCTATATCCTATTTACGACGACACGGTATATAAACCCCCTCTACTTGTAAACTGCTCGCACACACGTGTGTGTGTGTGTGTGCTGTGACAGTACAGAACGTCTCACCTGGAGACTCGGTCGCGAAACCTTAACTACCTGCGCCGAAATTCACACCTGTCCCGAAGAACCAATCACGCTTCCACCTCTCGGCTACACGGGACATAAACCTCGACCCAAAATGTGTGAATGTTCGACGCGAAAAGATTCTATGGTGACGTCACAACACATACGACGATGCGTGCTATTACATACTAAGAAAGAGACTAACTAATGAACTAAAGCACTCTAAACTAAATATGATTATGCTGAAATAAAGGCCATAGCGGTGCAGAGATTACACGCATATATATATATATATATATATATATATCGCTATAGCTGTAACCTTATTTACATGCGCCAACAGATATTCATATTGATATATATATATATATATATATATATATATATATATATATATTTCACTAGCAAACACTGAACAATTCCGGAACTTGCGAGATCCGTCGTTTAACCAGCTGCAAAGATCGGTTCGCTTGATCTAATTTCATCGATTTACAATTAATTGCATCACCGTTACAAAGCGCGAGCGTTTGCAACGCTCCATCCAGACTCCTCGGCCGAACCGAAATGCTCCGCCATCTTGGATGTTAGAGCAAAGTTGGGAATTTCACGCCGTACCCACGTGATTATCGAGAACACGAGAAAAAAACTAAATGGCGTTGCGGTTCTTCGTCCGTGTTGGACACGCACCTTTTATGCATTCTATGCATAGAAAATTGATTAACCATACAAAAGCGCTGGTGTTGCATTGCCGCCCAGTGTACGAGTTTTCCCCCACCAGCTGTCTGGCGGAACGATATCGTTTGAGCAACAGTCTTACGAAAATATGAGATCAACCGCGAATATGTGGACGCCATCTTTACGCCTCGGAACGCTTCTACCGGTATATCTTAATTTCTATTTATCACGCCGAGGACAACGCAATAAACAATTGATTACACGGAGCATGGCTTACACGACGTCCTCGCCCACACGTCCACATTTCGCATTCTAACTCGCAAAATATGCACACCCTGTTTTGCTTTTTTTTTTCTCGGGCAGGAGGGGTAAACAAATATAGCTGCGAAGAGAGTTGTAACTCGCCCTTTCTCGCAGAATAACCCCATTTACCTAAAGCTATTCGTAGTGACTTCGCATATGTTGCACGATAACAACCCAAAAACAATGACAACAAACGAAATCTATTCAGATTTTCTCAAAGAACAAAGATGCAAACCGTTCATCTAGTCTACAACACACCGAAAATGTTCCCTTAATTTTACGCACCGCCTGCACAGGTCATGTAAGGTAGGCCCGCTCGGCAGTTTCATGCAACTCAGCGCTACCCGTGTACCCCCTCGCTCCATCACAGGCCTCCTGTGGCGTGGGCGAAATGCTACACGGGTATAGATAGCTACATACAATTACGGTTCGCTTACAACGAGATTGACCAAGAGCTAGCTAGCATAGCGTACGATGACCACAGGCACGCGAGGGTATGTTGGGTCCGAGTATATACATGTACATAGTTGGCGCAAATGATGTACTGACCAGCAGTATACAATACATTGCACTATACATATAGTAAAGTCACGTGTTTGCTCACAAAATGGCGGCGTCAAATATCGAATAATTACAAAGCAACGAAGACGCAGAGAAATGGGAGGAGATTCACTAATAAATGATTAATAAAATCTCATGCTCGCTTTGTCGGATTCGTTAAAGAAATTCCATGAAAACTGGTACGTTTTGAAGAATAACGAACGCCGTGTCTTTTTGTGAACAGTTTGATGTTTCACCATCGGATTTTACCAAATGTGCGGCGATACATGAAGAAGGCACACTCGGCAATTTGCATAGCATATATATCTATTTGAGCTTTAGCGATCGCACATAAAATCCGGACAAACACGCACACACAACCCAACGAAAGAAATGATTTTTACAAATCCTATATACAACACAGTGAGATCAATCGAAAGCTAATTATTTGTGGGTTTATTTGAACCCATAACAATATATTTTTTCAAATTAAATGTTTATTGGCGCAGCAGTGTACGGACAATCCTCGATGGATATCATCGTAATCAACTTCACAGCCCAAGTGAAATCTGCTGCACACTGCATGCGAAAGTTGGCATCACGTGATTTCGAGAAATCGCGTGAGCCTCGCGCACGACAGACAATGCATATTTCAACATGCTGACAGATAAATTCGCATTTGTATGCGTCAAAGATTTATTACATTAATTACAGTGGCAAGGCATATATATATATATATTATATTCATATTGATATTCATATTGACGTTAACGTAACCTGATCACATAATATTCATATTGATATTCATATTGACGTTAACGTAACCTGATCACATACACGATACACTCAGCATCGTCATTCTGTCTTCCCGGCCCATCATCAGTGTGCGTATTTAGGAGATTTCCCCAACGCCTGATGCGTCCTTGCGAAACGTTGGTGGTTTGCGCAGCGTGGACTGCTGGCTGGCCACGTGGCACTGGTTCCCACGGTGCCCGGGCAAGCTCAGCTCAGCATCGCATCACATCGTCTCGTGTCTGGCTTCACAGCATCCGGTGTCCAGCTGTCGGCATCGTCACCCACGTGCTAGCGTTTTACTGTGCGATTTTTCTTCTTCTCGTCCGCTTCTTCTTTTTCACGTGCACTCTTCTTTTTTCGAGAAAAATGCGAGGTCGATCCGGGAATGATAAGAGCATGCTAGAAAACTACGCCATACACTCGCAAGTGGAATTGCTGCGGCGTCGTGTTTTACAACCCTCACCCTAGTACCGCCCCCGCCGCTGGCAAATGTTACCACCCCGTGTTTTGCCCGATTCCCCGCAAAATTCCAACAACTCGCGTTGTACGATTACCCAACACGTAACCTCTAATCACGAGCCGCGTTTTGCGACACCCCCCCACACAAACCCGGTGAAACCACACGCTCCGCAGTTCTTACGAACGGCTTCGACGCCGCAATCAGTCGTCTGCTAATACTCAGCCATCAAACTCGCTATAATATCAATTTCCGACATGTCGGCACATCGAAGGCGCGGGGGAGGGGGTAGATCAGAATTGTTGCGATGCTTGTCGAATTCCGTGAGGATAATAGCGGTTTGAAGGTCGTAGACGGGAGGAGGGTGTAGCGGGCGGGCTGGATCGGCTGGGCACATGATGTCTCCGCTGCGGGCTTGCGTCGATCGCTCGGGATGCGGCTGCGCGATGATGGTATGGGAGGATTGCAGCAGATCTAGCAGCGATGCACCGTCGCGTGGGTCGACCACCACATGCATGCTGGCACGCGGCTAGTTTTTTCGCTTCCCCTCCTCCTTCTCTCTCACCCACTCTCTCTCTCTCTCTCTCTCTCTCTCGCTCGCTCCACTAACCATGCTTGCTTGCGGGCCAGCTATAGACTGCTACGTGCGGCGTCTACCAAAATGAAAGTCGCGTTGAGTCACGCGTCAAAATAGCTATTGAGTCAGACGAGCAGACGCACTCTGTATAGTCCGGGGTGGAGTCGCTCAGCCCTATACGGCTGGCCATGCATGCGGGGAGAAGCAAGGGGGTAGGCCGTTTAATGAATGCGCGGGGCGTATCGGACGAATACGTTCCACTCGCGCTCGCTTGCGGTGATTTGCGGTGATCTACCAAAGAATTCCTTTATTCGCTAATGATTTGCACTGAAGGAATTATTGAAACTGTCGTGTGTACGAAGTGCGTGTCGCAGGACTACATGAATGCTATGCTGGGGTATCGAGTGACGCTTGCTACGGTTGTATCCAGAACCTATGAATATTTAATCACACGATGACAGCAGGAGTTAAATCATATACGCATATGTATATTACTCTACGTCTGCTATTATAATGCAATCAATATGTATCGTTTCAGCCTATTACGCCAACGTGTAATAAATATATGCGTCATAACTTATCGAAAGCGATATATCTTATGAAAAGAAAAAATGTGGAATACAATACGAGAACCCTTATACTCCTAATCTACAACATTAAACTGACTATGTGAAATCTCTCGGAAAGGAAATCACACGGAAAGCAAGCATATGCGAGAATTCCCGCTCGACTAATATATCCTATCTAACAGATACCAGTATGCGTTGCCTTCGGGTCTTATCAAATATACAGTCAAACCCTGTAAACTTGTCCCAGGCCAATAATTTTTCTACACATAGCATAATGTATGTAGATGTTGGCCTTCCCCGCATCAGACCGATGGCACATTCAGGTCTACATGGGGTGCGCTTGAAACAATATATGTATGCAGGCGCCAATAATCACCGAGAACGTAAAAAAATATGGCGTCTCTCTTGACGTCACGATCACACCGGATGTCGTCTACCTCTCTGCTTCCGCGTCGGTAGCTTGCCAACGCTGTTGCCGATCATGACCGAATCGCGTTCGGCTCTCCTCGGGAATCGCAAACGCTGGCGGCGGCCATTTTGATCTCGATTCGATCCAGTAAATAGAACGTCCGTTCGGTGGCCACTATCGTCATCGTCGCCGTCGCTGTCGTCACCGGCGTGCTCTGCGCTGAGAGCTTGCTGAATCGTGCGCCTCTATTGAGTGTCGTCTGCACCGGGATAGCGCTGCTGCACCGACTCACTCATCGTTCTCCTGTTCCGCTGGCGAAATCCGCCGTTTCCGCGTCCGTTTCTGTTCATCGCATCGTTTCCTTCCTGAAAGTAGAGGAAGAAGGCAAATGTCAAATCGTTACCGCATTTTTTTTCATCTTCCCCGATTAAATGCGACGACGTCGGGAGCAGACGACGCAGCTTCTGCGTACGGAAAGTGAAAGCGGATTTCCGGTACGCGATGCGGGCGAGGGCGCGATCGGTAGCTAAATCGGAACAGAGCGGAAACAGTCGAACTTTCGCTGACATGAACCTAATCAATTCAATTGCGTTTTGGGACGCGCCGACACGCGCCATTCCCTCGCTCCTGACATGACGTGATTGTGGCGGGAGCATATCAGCATGTCTGCTACCGTGGCGTGCGGGCCTGCGTGCGTGCATGCGTGCGTGCCTGTGTGCGTGCGTACATGTGTGTGTACTTTCGTTCGTGCATGTGTGCTTGCTTTCGTGCGTGCGTGCATGTGCGTGTGCTTTCGTTCGTGCATGTGTGCTTGCTTTCGTGCGTGCGTGCATGTGCGTGTGCTTGCCTGCGTGCGTGCGTACATGCGTGCCTGCTTTCATGCGTGCGTGAGTGCGTGCGTGCGTGCGTGCGTACGTGCATGTGTGTGTGCTTGTCTGCTTTTGTGCGTGCGTGCGTGCGTGCGTGCGTGCGTGCGTGCGTGCGCGAGCTGGTACCGAATGGTAAGCGTCAATTTAGAATGCCATCGCTCGCTAACCACGTCATCATACGAACGGGTGGAGAAAAAAAATCCAATCCACTTTCACTTTCGGCGAGTGAGAGTGAGAGTTAAAAAAAATCTACCGTCTGTCGCGGCATGCGATTAATAGCGGCAGGTTAGCGCGCATTACGTACTATTGCGTAATATCACGTAATAATGCGAATGCCGGGCTTCTTCAAAGTGGCACGCGCGCCAGCGGTGACTGGCACCGGTCTGAACCCGCGCACGCTGCTTGACACGAGTACCGCAACGCTTAGTGGACAGGTACGCTAGCAGCTAATATAATGAGGTGAGTGCGTGCACGCGGAGGCGAGGGGGTGAGAGAGGGGGGAGAGGGAGAGCGCGAGAGCAATAGAGAGAGTGATAGTGAGAGTGAAAGAGAGAGTGAGTGAACGATCGAGTGGGAGTGAGAGTGAGAGAGAGAGGAATGTTGTTGATAGAGAGAGAAGAGAGAGAGACACGAAATGGAGAAGAGAGATTGAGTGAGTTGAGAGAGAGAAGAAGAGAGATAGAAGATGATGAGGGAGAGAGAAAGAGAGAGAGAGAGAGAGAGAGAGAGTAAACCCGAAAGAGGACCCGAATAAAACACGAGTGAGAGTGGTTTCATTATTGATGGCGGTGTGCATATATTCACGCGCTGTTCGTGCATGGGTGCATGGAAGGTTCGAAGGAAAGTTGATACCGAGGGCGGAGGTGTGGGCCGGGGGGAGGTAGGGAGTTAGTGGAGTAGTGGTTGACGAAGGCTGGGTAGTGGTTAGAATAGAGGTGGGGTGAAGTGGGCTTGCGATGGTGTTGTTAGCCGTGGTGCTGTGTTGGTAGTGGTGCTGTGGCATTGGTAGTGGTGTTGTGGTATTGGTAGCCGTATTGGGGTGTTGTGGTGATAGTGGTGGTAGTGGTGCTGTGATGATAGTAGTCGTAGTGGTGCCGCGGTGATTGTGTTGGTAGGGGTATGGTGGTAATTGTGGTCGTATAGTGGTGCCACATGATGTTTGTATTGGTAGTGGTGCTGTGCTGGTGAGGTGGGGGTGTTGGTGAGGTGAGGTAAGGCGTGAGGTATGGTCGGGAATGCACAGCTGCGAGTTTCTTATGCGAAACACGTAATGTGAATAATAACGTGAGGGCTGGTACAAAAAAAAAGTGGTCGCTCTTCGGTTCATCGGCGCCTATTCGTCAGAGATAGAGTTTAGTCGTTAGCTATGACAAAGACTTCATCCGAACATTAGCAATTCGTAACGGAGAGTGAAAGTTGAGTGGCAGCCGTGCAAATCAAGGCGCACGTGCATTTCTCCGCACATTACAAGGCAGCGCCTAGCTCTTAACGCATCGCCAGAGAAAATGTTTATTTGCATATGCATCTTACGAAATGCGCAGCAATGGAATGTGTTTTGTTTGTTGTTGTGATTTTTTGCCCCCCTCCTCCCTTCGTCGCATTTAATCCGATACTGATTCTCGATATCGTCACGCATCTATATTTAAGTGACACGTCTGCAGAGATAATGATGCACGCGCACCTGCGCGGACCACACCCCTATAGCACGCGCGCACCTAAATATTTACACCTCTTGCATGCTTAACCCCCGTTCTTCTCATCCCCCCCCACCCCCTCCCCCGCGCCGCCTCTCACCTTCTCTTCTCATCCCCCCCCCCCCATGCACCCTCGGACTAACTGCACAAATACTGCTCACTTTATCTCTGCGTTTCGCATCTTGGGGTTTGCGCGAAGTTTGGCGCTCTTTTGGTTGCCCTGGTTGATGCAGGAAGTTGGCGGAAACACATTGCGCGTCACCTGACTAATACCTGATTCGCATACCCGATGAATGACTTAAAATTCTGCAGTAGATACTCGTCAATAAATCGCAATAAAGTAATAATGTCTAATAAAAAATACATAAAATTCGCTGCTATCAAAATTGCAACACAACTAAAAAAAACACCTAAATTCTGAAAACTAGCTTGTGTTAAAAGGCTCGCAACCGCTCAGGCGCCCGACACAAAAACTCTCGTTATTTGTGTTTATTTCTAACTTGGACTTACTATAAAATCTCTCGCCAATCTTTGCTACAACATGCTGCGATTTGAAACAGACATACAGAATAACATCCGATTGTGTTTCCACGCTTTATGCTGCCGAGCCCTTATTTCACTCACAGTTGTGCCCCCATCTATTTGCTACTGCTTATTATATATTATATATATAATATATATTTATTATATATATATATATATATATATATATGAGCGATCAAATTGTAAATGTGCCAAAACGTAAAGACTCGGGTCGTCACGTGGTCACCTGTTAATTGTCACGTGGTGCGGAGAATTTGATTTATGATCGTGTGTGTAAACACATTGACACAACACGCCGCGTGCGTCATCTGCGCGCTAGACAAGAGCACACCAAAGAAAGAACACAGACTACCACCACAAACATGCGTTGTGCCTACGATAAAAAAAATCCATGCTAACAGGTCTACCGGACATATAAAAAAATGCGGTGAAAAGAAAACGGACGAAGGCTGTGTAGGTAGTAGAACGCTAGAATGCAGGAAAGAGAAATAGTACAGGCTTGCCCCATGCCAAACTAAATCGTGCTTGCGAGAAACGCGTGCCAAACGACCGTTGCAACTTACCACACTCGCAGCAGTAGTTTCGTCATCCACCCTATCAGCACTCGCTTTGGGGGGCATGCCAATTGTACTATTTCTCTTTCCTGCGGGGCAAACAAAAGTATTCGGACTGTGATTTTGGACTAGTGGACCGAAACACGTCAGTTTGCGGTAATGGCATATAAACAGTATAGAGAGAGTGTCAGCGCGCGCGATCAGCTACTGTCAGGTGTGACGTAATAAGCCTGCGTTAACGTGAGAATTTACGATAAGAGTAGACGCAGTACAGAATGCGTCATCACCTACACACACGTCAGGCGTGCCATAATAAAGACGTACTATATTTTTATTGTACGAACCGACCCATATCTATATCCTATAGCCTACATCAAGAGCTAATAATAGGTATTATTAGCTCTTCCCTCTTCGTGATCTATGTAAAATCACGAAGACAATAGCAGAATAATAAATAAGAAGAAAAATGTAAAAAGAAAAATGTTAAAAAAAAAGTACAGAAAGGTAATCATAATCAATGGATTTATGATACAGTTTCTGACATCGCGACACCGCGTTTCGCGATCAACATCGCTACGTGACAAGGGCGCCGACCGACGCGCGATGACTACTACTATTACAACATTACACGCTCGCAATTACAGCAATCACTGATTGCACGTTTGTTTCCCTACCGCGCGCGCGGTCCACACGTATGTTTACAAGATGCTAGCCAGCGCCGGGGATGAGGAAGGGGAGGGCGGGGATGGGGAGAGGGATTATGAGAGGGGGAGAACACCGGGCGTGCATTCAGCGTGAGGCGGGACACGCTCCGCGAGCTGCGCATGACTTCCAGGCACCTCGACGAGCCATCGCGCAGCGGGTAACAATTTACAGGTACGACCGGCGGGCGACAATAGCACACCTGATCGCGGCCCAAGCTGACGACAACAAAGCCGCCAGCGCGCCGCATCTGAATTTCAAATGCCCGTGGCAGACACAGAGCGCTCCAGACCGGCTGAAACATGATATCACTTTCCCCCGGCGGCACGCCCCCCCCCACGCGCGGGAGGAGAGCGTGAGACGCTGGGACTTCCCCCCCTTGTTATACCGTCACAACTAAACCCGCTTCGTGATTAAAACACACGTTTTAATCAATTTTTTAAATAAAAGGATGCGAATGAATGAGCGAGAGAGAGAGAGAGAGCGCGCGAGAGAAGAAAGCGAGACACACAGAGAGGAAAACGGATATGAGAGTAAGCAGAATATGAGAGCAAAAGAAAGAGAAGGAGAGGGAGAGAGAGAGAGAGAGAGAGAGAGAGCGTGCGCGCGCGAAGGCTGACTTTAACTCGTTCATCGTGCACCGTTACGTATCGTCGTCGTCGTCGCGGGAGACGCCCCTCTGCAGGGCAGGTGTAAGTGTGGCCGCCCTCACCCCGCACTCACCTCATCAACAGGTGTGCTGCACTACATCGCCACGCACAATGGCCCGTCTGTGTTGTCTGCGCTGTGTGAGGTCACGCCGTGAAATTACGGGTTTCCAACAACCAGATTGCCGGGAGGCGGTGAGAGACGGCTAGAGAAACTAACGAGAAGAATCGGAGATGTCTGCCTGTGTGTGTTGGCGTGTCTGTCTGTGTGTCTGTGTGTCTGTGTGTCTGTGTATCTGTCTGTCTGTCTGTCTGTCTGTCTGTCTGTCTGTCTGTCTGTCTGTCTGTCTGTCTGTCTGTCTGTCTGTCTGTCTGTCTATCTATCTGTCTGCCCTTCTCTCCCTTTCTCTCTTCCTCGCACTCCCCCTCTCTCTTTCTCTTTCTTTCTCTCTCTCAAACACGCACTCTCTCCCTATCCCCATTTTCCCTTCTACTACTTGCTCTCTCTCTTGCTCGCGCGAGTGCACTCCTTCCCTACTTATCTGTGTGTGTGTTCCTTTGCTAAACAGCTTTCTCCATCTCATTCTCCCTACCTCCTCTCTCTCGCTCTCTCTCTCTCTCTCTCTCTCGTATTTTGTATCTCTTTATACTTCTCCCTCTGCCTCTCACACTCCCTCTCCCTCTCTCCTATCTTCTCTCCCATACTCTCTATCACTTGCTATCGCTCACCCACCTCCTTTCTCTCTCTCTCCCTCTCCTGCGTTCAACCTCCTTCTCCCTCTATCAAATAACTCTCTCTGATCACTATTATAACCTCTATCATTATCCTCATCATTATCACCACCATCACCATCACGCACGCGACACGATGCAAAAATTAACTACCGAAATTCAATTGCGTACAAATCTCTCTCTCTCTCTCTCTCTCTCTCTCTCTCTCTCTCTCTCTCTCTCTTTTTAACTCTCACCCATCTCTCTCCCTTACTTATTTATAGCGAACGATAGAAATTTAAACGAAAAATATATAATACATATAATACATATGTATAGCGAGGTCTATATAGAGCATCCGTGGATGGTTGACTGGTCGGATAGATGGCCCCAAGGGCACGGTAATAACGGTGTATATAGTTATGGATTCTCTCTCTCTCTCTCTCTCTCTCTCTCTCTCTCTCTCTCTCTCTCTCTCTCTCTCTCTCTCTCTCTCTCTACCTCTCTTCTTTCTCTCGCTCTTATAGACAACGTGACTTGCGGGATGTTGGTGGGCTTCCCGCGTGCTCCTACTCCTCAGCCTCCCGGTAGGATGCGCGTGGCAGCAGCTGCTGCGGCGGCGGCGTCACGAGATTCCCGTAACTAACGTTTTTACACAGAGAGCAGGTAAAGGTAAGCAGACAGGCAGACAGGCAGGCAGGTAGGCAGACAGACAGGCAGGTAGGCAGGCAGGCAGACAGACAGGCAGGTAGGCATGCAGGCGGGCAGGCAGGCAGACAGACAGACAGACAGGCAGGTAGGCAGGCAGGCGGGCAGGCAGGCAAGCAGGCGGGCAGGCAGGCAAATAGGCAGGTAGGCAGGCGGGCAGGTAAACAGGCAAGCAGGTTAAGCAGGCAGAAATGCACAAAGACAGATAGGCAGGCAATCAGACAGACAGATAGGCAGGCAGGCAGGCAGACAGACAGACAGATAGGCAAGCAGGCAAGTAAACAGGCACGTAGATAGGCAGGCAGGCTGGCAAGCAGACAGACAGACAGACATATAGACAGATAGGCAGGCAGGCAGACAGGCAGAAAGACTGATTGACTGACAGACTGACAAACATGTATAGACAGGCAGGAAGACAAACAGACATATAAGAAAGCATACAGTAAAGCAAGTACTTACGCTTGAGTCATGTGATGTGAAAAATGTTTATACTTGTGTCTAACTTTAATAATTATCAATTGTCTAGCCTTCATAAATTTACCAAGAATTTAACGTAGCGTTAGATTTGCATTCTAGCGTGCCAGGTTCATACCAATGGAAAATTATCTTGTTGAAATTATGATATTTAAGTAGGTATTATATCCTCACAAGTAGTGCGATCTGAAAAACAGTAATCACAATGCTGTATTTAAATAATTAAAATGTAACCGGTATCTACAAAAAATTTATTTTGTTGAAATTATACGTTTAATGTAGAGAGATAATATTTACGAGTCATGCGAAGCGTTTTAATTTCAATCTCTCAGTTATCCAAAATGCCTATTATCTGTATCCGTGCCAGTATATATCATCTATGCCTAAAGACATACTGTTGAAATTAAATATCATCACTATATACTTACTAAAAATTCCCGATTTTCTATATTTTAATCTATTTCGTTTCCACGATGCTCAAATTTCATAGCAAGAAAAATCACATTTATTTTCGAGCGAATAATTAACGCCAGATGTCGTGCCCGTCGCGCAGGGCTTCGCGGCTTCCTCTGCCGTATGCGTGACACGGCGGTAGGCTGCGCGCGTGCAGCTACGCCGCCAGCTGACGGAAGCTGAGGCCCCGATGCCGTCCACAGAGCGTGGAAACTTCTCGTTAATGTCGCTGCCGTTACTAGCTTAGGGAAACGCGACTGTGGTTGTTGCTAACCGCCGCATGGGTTATGCGTTAATGGGGCGAGAGAAAAGCCTGGGTGCCAGAGAGGACGAGAAAAGAGGTGCACTGATAGAGAGTGTGAATGTGTGCACACGCATCTGCATGTGAATCGGGCACGACAGGAGGTGCGTACATCAGGTGGATCGTCAGTGAGGGTCAAGCATCAGGCACCGACGACGTGTGAAGACGCATATAGCATAACGGCCGAGGATGAAGTCGTAAAGGCGGTGCCGTTGAACGACTGGCGATCGAGAGAGAATTGTGGAATCGGAGGGAGCAGCTGAGCTATAGGCCGAGTCTGCGCCTGGGAGGTGAAATCATCAGGAGTGTATAATATAGAGATACATGCTCTATTATATATATATATATATACATACATACATACATATATTATACACTCCTGAAATCATCACACGTTTCCAGCCGACCGACCGCTTGTGATTATTCACGTATAGATAATTCACTTGACTTCTATGGAGTCTTCGGTTAATCGATGATTGATGATGAACGATAAATGATCGATGACCTGTTGATGATAATCGATTATAGGTTATCGATTATTGATGATCGCTAATTTCGCGGGCCGACACGTCGACTCGCAAGTAAAAACCGACTAGCCGCCCGAAAGCGAAAGTGACGCTCAGTGGATGAAATGAGAATTTAATATTTTATATTATATTGCGCTGATGCAAGCATTCATTGCCCGGCCTTCATGTCTGCCTGGCTGGCTGCGTGCATGCCCGCGCCGTGCGTGGGCGGTCTCCCTCTCTCTCTCTCTCTCACGCTGTCTCCCTCCCCCCCCTCTCTCTCTCTCTCTCTCTCTCTCTCTCTGGATATGATCACAGTAAGTCGACACGCAAAAACGCGGTGCAGTGAAAGTTTAGGGCAATCATGTAGCGAGGGAGGTGGAGGAGGAGGAGGAGGAGGTGGAGGAGGAGGAGGGTGAAGAAGGAAGGGGGCGATGTGGGAGTAGTTGGAAATGACGGGGCTAAATAAGAGAACGCTGATAAGGAGTAGGGGGGGGGTGATGTGAATAAGGGAGAGCCATTAGCCCTCTGTTTGCGCTTGCATAGTCTGGCGATGACGTCAGGGATTGTTTCGCCTGCTCGGTGCT